CGCTCCCGTTGCTTACGCGTATAATATACTGTACTGTACAACACTCTTCTTTGTTAACCACATCATCATTGCATTAAGGTAAATATATTGGCTAAACTGCGTTATGATAATACGGTAGCCCAAAAGGGACAACTTTAATAACGGAGCAGAATCTGTACCGTACTGTACAGTACTGTACAGTACTGTAGATTTTTGTCGATAAAAATTCGTTTCCTTGTCTCTCACTACAGTACAGTACTGTACTGTACACTGTACTGTACAGTACTATTGCACGCTGCCACGCCTCTACCACGCGCGTACCCATTCCTGCCTTTCAATATGGCGTCGTCCTACTGTACTGTATGTATTGTACTGTATATACAGTACAGGGAGATACGGGAAATTTCGAAATTACTGTACGTGCAAACTGCAAAGTTACACAGTACTGTATGATCTACAGCACTACGGTGCAGTACTGTACAGTACAGTACAGTATTATCGTTATCATACTGATGACGGCGCTTCGGTACCGTATGCTTCTTACTCTTCTTCTGAAGAGCGTTTCCGCTACAGTACAAATGAGACTTATGTATACAGTACAGTACTGTTACATGTCGTTACGTAGTGCATTATTAATAACGGGGGATATGCATGGTTAGTTACACAGTCTGTGTAGTACAGTACAGTACTGTACACTGAGTACAGTATAGTGTACAGTACTACAGGACCAGGACCACTTTCTGTTGGTACAGTACGTTGGTACCATAAATTCGAAATTTCCCGCATCTCCCAGTAGAGTACAGTACAGTATACTGTAATACTCGAATACAGTACAGTACAGTACTGTACGCGTACTGTACGTGAATGGCTGCAAGTGCTGTACCGGACTGTACAGTACTACATGTCTACAGTACAACTCTACTGTACAGTACTGTACCTACAGTATTATACACTGTACTTGAAGTGTACAGTACAGTATAGTACTGTACTGTACTGTACTGTACATACTGTACAGTACTTTACGTTTTTTTGCGCGTACAGTACAGTACACTGTACAGTACGGTGTACTGTAGCTGCAAGTTCTGCAACTAATTCTTCACAGTTTTTGTAACGCCAGGCTGTCGAAGAGAAGTACTGTATAGTACCGTACAGTGTACACTTACTATACAGTACAGTACAGTACACTACTGTACTGTACGTACTTTACTGTTTTTTTGCGCGTACGGTGCAACAAGCACCGCATTATAGCTACAAGTTCTGCAACTAATTAATTCCTCGCCGTTTTTGTAGCGCCAGGCTGTCGAAGAGAAGTACTTATATACTCTGCTTATATACTTCCTCTTTGTGGAATATCAAATTAATAAACAACTAGTGTGCTAGTGTACATGTACTACAGTAAATATCATATTTTATGAGGATATTCTTTTATCTCTAGATATCTACTCCACGAGTATATCCTTAAGACTTCCATAATGGCTGATGCCACTGCAAGATCACTACAATATGATTACCGAGCGGTAAGTTCATACATAATAGAACGTAAAGTAAATGAAGTACTACATAAACCACCGGGCTTAGAACGATGCTGTGCCCTTACTATTTAGAAAACATGATCCATAAAACAAAATTACGTTTAAATTAAGTTATACGCGTACGTTCACTAGTGCGGTTTATGATTGATTTCTTCACTTACGGTCGCGTGATAACCTCTGACAAGTACGGTATGATACTGTAAAATAATGAGCCCTATGCTCCCTAACCTAACTTTACTGCAACTAATAACCCCCCAACCTTATTGTGATTATTCAGAATTCTAACCTCGTTCTCCAAGCTGATATCTCATTGCTGGAAAAGCGCGGGAGGGATGAATCAACTGGTGAAGTTACTTCGCTCTCTGGCCACCTCGTCGGAACAAAAATGGGTGATAAAGCCCAAAGAGCGAAACCTCCAACAGCAGAAGAAGCAAAACCAAAGTACAGTATAGCATACAGTACTACTGTACAACTATATATTATTGTATCATTATCACTAATAAAAAATTTTCCTCGACACTTCGAAGGCGGCGTAAGATCACGTCCGAGAAGCGACAAGATATCCTTAAATCAAAGCAAGCTAGTTTATTATCCTCTGATCTATTCGACATGCCAAATATCTATAAACCCAAGACGAGAGCAACAAAGAGCACTTACGAACTGATGCTAAATATTGTTCAAGGATCACTTGGAGATCAACCTCGAGAAATTTTAGTTGCTGCCGCTGACGAAGTGCTAGCAGCATAAAAAATAAAA